ATATTTCTGACGAATGGAAACTGTAATAACTTTGAACTTACACAATCGATACCTAAATTATCAAAATTAAGAGAACAATATGGAAGTATTATATTTATCGAACCCACCGTTTGTTAATAGAAAAATATTAAATATATTACCACGTTCACCGAAAAAGTGAAGATAAACATTTATTTATACCAGTCTTGTGGGAAAGAATGATATTATGGGAGAAGTTAAGAAATACGATAAAGTGCTGGCACTTAAATTTGATTATCATTGGCCAAAATATTTTTATGCGAGGAGATTTTTTATAATTACTTTATTATGCAAAACGTGCATTGTCATATAATCGCACAATGCGTAACGTTCTACTCTCGTATCTAGCTTAAAACTGAAACTTGGATAAAACACTTGCACGATGAGTAACTAGCGGTGGTTACTAGCCTGCATTCAGAGTGGCTAACTCTGCCAGAATGCCAGAATGTATTCACGTAGCTTTTAAAAAAAGCAGGAGGAGAAAGAAGAGAAATAAATAATGAAATAATGAAATAATGAAATAAAAAATTTGTATGCCCTCATTTTTCATCAAAATTATAGTTTCATGCTTCTCTTCCGATTGTACTTCCAAAAAATCTTTGTACAGACAATTTATACCTATTTCTGAGAAAAATAAATACTACTAGTCCCTTTCTATTTCTATAAAATAGTATATATCATATACAAACGATTTATTACCATTTATGGAAAGAATAGTGTTAAGCCTTGGAATGTCGTCCTGGTATTTCGTTCGGCCCTTTGTTTAGAATAGACCGTGTGAAGGCTCTGAAATTTCTCAAGTACCATTGATGAGGCCCTAGGACCGCAATACCCCAAGTAGAGGGTTGTTTATATCCTTACTATCAGCGCCCTTTGATTTCTTTAGCACCTAAGCCACCACTTAGGTAATCCGCAACAAACAACTATATATCACCTTTCAAGAAGACAAGCACAATTATCTAGATTGTTTAAACAACCACCACTACCGAAGGACGCTGAAGTTAACATACACCTCCAACATCATAACAACCAATCAGCAGAAAGACCAGGATTATATAACCACCGAGAGATCAGGAAGCAAAAGAGAGTCAGTACCAGTCACTCAGTCAGAGAAGTCAATCAATAACATTCGAAGAGTTCAGAAGAGTTATCCGAAACTACTACGTAAAATACAATCCACTATAAACACAACCTTCCTCAAGAAATTTGGATCGTCATTAACCGTCGCCAATTAAGGACGACCTACTGACGATATACAAATAGCAACTCGAACAGATGCTTCTCATTTTTGTAAATATATTTCCTCCTACAACACGAAGCAACTTCTGAGCATAACTGTATATATACAAAATTATTTCATAAATGTTAATTGAATTAAAATACGAACTCCCGTTTTACCCTGTCAGTTCCTTCAACTCGTTGTCCGTGGATTATGACATTTCTGAATAATTAAATAATCTTCTCAAGCAGAAAGTTCTGTGAAAACTATAATTGAAATTTTCGAAAAGACTATTTATGTCCCCTAAATTAAATTAGAATTGCAGTTTATCTGAATTTATTTCCTCGTTTATTGTATAATTAAAGAGACACGATTTCGGAAAGAAACAGCCTAACATATCCGCGTGTTGATCTTGCACTGATACACTGAGATAAACTAATACCAGGATAGTCATTGCAGAGGAGTACAAACTTGGGAACGGTTGAAATCTGAGTTAATGCATTAATGGGTAAAGCAGCACTGCTATTTGGAACGCTGTTCCAATAATTCGATATAGAAGTCAAACAATCTTGTTTCAATAAGATTCCTCCTACAGACTGTGCTGAACTACATAGCTAATTAGCATTAGACCGCAGCCAGTCGATATTTTGATGTCTTACTACGTTAAAGCTACGATATCGAACTACCTTAGATGACGATGACTTATTCGCTATGTCTGTCACAAAAACGGTAACCACGATGTAAATTACTTGAACAAAATACACACGAAGTTGAGAGTATTTTACACAAATTTTTGAAACGTACTGTAATGTCCTGAGTTTAAAGACACTAAACGGAAAGGAGCCATAAAAGAGAAAGAGAGAAAGCGATTAGACAAAACGAAAATCAAGTCCATTGGGAAAAATGTTTATCGACGAATAGTTCACCGATGAGCCTGCAATATTTTTGACGATCGAACGAGTGAGGATAGTTTTTGAGGACAATTAGGAAAAATGAGGGATGATCCTTCTGAGAGGGAGTTGTTCTGTTGCGAAGAGAGACGTTTAGGGTTATTTTGTGTCTTTCATTTCTGACATGTATATTACTCTACATTACTATTCATTGTTTAACTATTTTTTCTAATATTCAATTTTCTTTTCCCATCCTTTCTCGAATTTTTAATCAGCCAGATATTGCGTAATTTTTCTAAATCTTCCATCGATTCCTTGCTATTTACAAATTTTTCCTGTTCATTCGTCGATTTTCTCTTTTCCCGATTCGCCCTAGCTTTTCGTTAGCCTTAAATAAATATCCTTCAAAACAATCGATCGTGCCGCTAATACAATTTCGGAAACACGCCGCGAGGGACATAAAATCAATTTTGAACATTCGATCAACGCACACCCCACGTCGTTGTCCTGGAAATGCCTTCGACAAAACGCCACAGCTATTTCGCGGTTTCTTTGGTAAATCCATAAAAAGAGAAAGATAGAAAAGGGCAAAACGAAGACTGGAAGCCAGTAAAAAGGGAATTTATATTTACGAATACCGGTTGCTCGGAGGCAAATTACACGCAAAGGGAATCGCGGCGGAAGTGAAATCCAATCGACCAGCAGCGAAATCCCGGAATTGGATCCCCAGAACTCGCCGGAGTCAATTTACCTAGCTGGTTTCACGCGAAACTGAACGTCTCTCTATAACGTAACCCACGTTGCCTTCCGTGCTTCTCTTCACATTGTGCGTGTAAATTATTAAATATAAGGGGCTTCTCGCTGTTAATTAAGTCCGTCATGCCATCATACTCTACGTCGTCGTTCGAAAAGCGTAAGTGAATCGTGTCGCAATCCAAAGAATCGATAAATTCTTTGAAAACGATCTTATCTTGGAATGACTATCCTCATTCTACAGATGTTATACAAAAATATAAGTCTGAAAGACGTCATGAATAAACGCAAGAAATTAACTCTTTATCTGGGACGTTTTTGCTGATGAATTTTCCTGTCTTCATTTCCAGATATAGTTTTAAAAAAAATAAAATTTCAATATTGAATATGTAAATTTTTATAGGAATATGCAAAATTTTAATATTTATGAGATTCCCTATTCTTTAAAATTGGATACTTTTTCAACATACTTTGTTAACCTATCATGTTTCTATACAATATCTAGGTAATGGAGATATTAGGTACGATTCTACAATTATTCTACAATACGAATTATTTCACAATTCCTATGATCACTAAATCGATATAAATTACAACCCATTAATATCGCAAGATATTAATATTCTCTGCGTAAAGGAAAAACAAGTAATTTTACGTGTTAATCATTACTGTCAGGCAATATACTTTAAACTAAACTACTTGCGTAGTTTTCCATTTTTCCTTCTTTTTACGTCGGAAACACTTTGTTAGAACTAAATGGTAGCAGAAAGTGAAGTTATAAAACATGGAGTATACGTGGCGAAAGAATCTAGGAAGAAAAAGGAAGGAGTTAGGAAAATGGCGTTAAGAAAAATGAAAAAATATCCTCCTTTTTCAGTAAATTTCGCTCTTCCACCTTTTTTCCTGGATATTTATAAGACGTTGAACATTTTTTTCTTTCACTTACTTCGTAAATTTGGCTTTTCCTTTCTCTTCTCTTTCATTCCCCCTTTTTCATCCTCATGTTCGATTAAGCGGCACGAGTAAGCAGGTTTGCTTTTTCCTTTTAAAAGTATGCATTGGTAATTGCAATCTGTGTCCTATTTAAATATTACACGTTCGCGTATTCAACCATGCGAATGCGAGAAGTGCAAAAAGCAATTGTTGCAATGTTGTTGCTGTAAAATTTTCGTTTTACGCGTCACAGTTACGAACAATTACGATAACTCGTAACAGATACAGTCGAGCGTTTCAATTTGCATTGATAAAATAAATATATTTCACGCTCCAAGTAGCGTAATCGTTGCAAGGCTCGAACGAATGGGAAAAGGAAACCTTCCAAAGGCTGTACACCTCTGACGAAGTAACAGAATCGTTTATTAATATTCCAATGAATGTAATAAATATGTTAATTTAACAAAGCGTGCGTGAAAATATAATGGAAGAAATAATATTTCTATCAATACGCATACAAGACGAGTTATTGAAAATTAATATTAATATATGAAATTAATAAATGTAGCTAATTGGTAAATTAATCTATCGATATACACGAGATCATTTACCAAATACACGTAAGAATTTCAATATCAGTCTATCTATAGGTTATCGGAATACTTGCAGGAAGAATTTCTTGTGATATTTAAACCTCGAAATCGTTCAACTTTGACCTTTGACACTTTCGATATAGCAGCAATCTCAAAGATACTTGTAGAGATTACAATGGCACACCCTACTCAAATTCTACTTGTAATTCTTAATCTAATCCCTGCGGTAGTGGTTGTCATGCAATGTTTGGAATAAGTGTGAGGAATGTTGTGTGGAAGAATGTGTGTGTGTGACGAGTATGACAGAGAGTCGTGAAAAACAATTAGTTGATAAATGACAGTCATCAGAAATAGACGTTGTGTGTAGGAGAGTCCTGAATAGATTATATCGCAGTGAGAAGCGAATTTATTTTACGTGATTTAATTATAATTTATTTTGTGTTGTTATACTGTTCAATAAATATTGTTATCAGTTTATCCATTTACTCACAGTCCCAACTGAGATTGGGGATCCGAAGAGGGTTTCTTATTCTCATAAGAGGAAGAGTATAACGATTAAATGACAAACGTAAAATAAATTCACAAACTTAAATTTCACAGTTAGCTATCTACCGCAAATCTAACACTCTTTATCTAAATAATTCGCTGAAGATACAAGGGAAGTTTGTCGAATATGTCGCGAGTATTAGCCATTCGTCGGGTAAGCATTGGCAAACGATTAGACGTAAGGGTTGCAATGTTGCAAACGACGTTCTTCGTATCACTACGAAAATGCAATATAATATACCGATGAGTGGCCACGTGTCTGTCAACGTTACTGACAACCACGCCCGCCATAATGCTGCGTCGCCTTAACGAGGACGCGTCCTTTGAAAACTTCTCCCTTCCTTCCCCTTTGGCAACCCCTTCTGCTGTCCGTCAACTCTCGAGAGGGGTTGCGAATTTAATGAAGCGTCCTTTAAATTGCGATACGCCGCGTCGAACGGGATATATTATTTGAAATTTCGTCCCAAAGATATCCACGTCTCTTTGATCTCTTCCTTTCTACCGTTCTTTTTTCGATCGCGTTCATTTCAATTGATCGCTTATAAGATGGATAATAGACACCCTCGACGAGTCCTTCAGGGTTAATTACAATTTTCTTCTGCTTGAAATGATAAGTGGAAGAGCGACGTGGTAAGATATTAATGCTTCCAAAATTGAAACACTCTAGGTGGTTTGAATAAGTAAGTCATCGAATTGGTCTCGAAGGTATCATAACTGTGTCATGGACAATATTCTCTATATATTTCGTATGAACTTAGTCCCGATATTTCGTGAAAATTAACAAATATCCGTCGTCGCTACATTTATCGAATAACTAAAATCAGAAGTATCCGTCAGAAGTTTCGGTAATTCGTTTCCTTTGGACATTCGTATAGTCTGTTTCACGTTATTCAAGAATTTTCTTCCAAAGGAGTATTTCCCATTATTCATCCGACGAATACACAAGATATCCTTTATATATGCAAAGTCAGGTATGCGTGAATACGACGGTTCACTCATCGATGTTCTTGGATGATTGATGAGCAGCGAGGGTGAGAAATCTTAAAGCGTGGCCTGAAAAAATGTAAGATCATTATAGGGGAATTTCCATAAGTGCCTAGATTCCAACGTGGCCTCCTGAGAATGCCAAGGATTTGGACTGTAAAGGGGAACGTTCTTCACAAGAGCTACCGTCAATACAACGTATATTAAATTTGCATTTTCCGCGTAATTGAGATTGTAGATAATATATCTTTACATAATCTCGATTAAATTGAAGATTTAATTCTATGTATCCGGTTAGGACAGAATTCTCCGATGCTATTCCTATCCTAATGCAAATACTTGTTAGAATTCGGTAACTTTTTGCAAGATTATTATATATCGTCAATAGGTCGTCCTCAATTGGCGACGGTTAATGAGGAACCAAATTTCTTGAGGAACGTTGTGGTTATAGTGGACTGTATTTTACGTAGTAATTTCGGACAACTCTTCTGAACTCTTCGAATATTATTGACTGACTGACTGGTACTGACCTAACTGACTTGTGCGACGCACGATCTTTCGGAGCCCACGGTTTCCAAAGGGAAATCGTTTTTCCTATTGGTCTTTGAGAGGACCGAGAATGGGCCCTCGGTCCGCGAATCAGATGCCCCCAAAGAAGGGAGGAACGTCTTCCCCGACAAGGTCTGCTAGTCGAGGAAGCTTCTCCCTCAAAGGGGGTTGCGGTGGGTCACCCGCACATTCGTGACTCTTTCTACAGTACCCGTTACTTTATGACTCCGAAAGTCGCGACATCGCACATGGCATGGTCCCTTTCTTTGCAGGCCTACTGTCAGCCAAATCCTAGGTGTTGTTGCCTGCTTTCTAACATTAATGGCTAAAGAATGCCTCGTGTCCGGTGACCCGAGGGAAATAAAGAATCGTTTAAAAATGTATTGGAAACGAAGATAGAAAGGACACGGAACTTGAACTAAAACAGCAATTAGAATCTGGCTGCCAGAAGACCCTAACGGTCTTCTGGGTCTATTCTGAACAAAGGGCCGAATGAAATACCGGAACGACATTCCAAGGCTTAACAATTATCTTATTCCAAAAATTCTCGAACTCGTTTCAATATTATATCAGTCTGAACAATGCACAGAACGTTGCATCGTTTGAAACTTTACAGGTCTTTGGCGTTCACTGTGAGCACAGCCAAGTTGTTCCTAATAAATTCGATTTCCTCGTCGGCACAGACGATCGAAAAAACAAGATGGAGCGCGTGCTCACGCAGCCAAGCATGGCAGCGCCCTCGTAAATGACGTTGCGTTGTCAACGAAAAGGTAGGCAACCGTCGGGCGGAAAACCCGGTAGAATTGCATTAACAATAAACGCATTAAGGCGAGGGTCTTTTGAAAGAGGGTTAGAGAAGTGGGTGGTGGATGGCATGGGAAGAGAAGGGAAGGAACAGCGCTACCCAATTATTCACCTAAATAGTGTAGGATATTTTCAGACATTATTAGAATACGATGGTCGAAGTGTTCCTGCAGAGAAGGCCCTTGCCTTCCACACGGGCTTAAAAGGGCCCGTTCTAGAAGATACAGGTTAGTTGTTTTTATTTCGTTGAGTTCGTGAAAAGTTGTATAGTTCGTTAAGAGTAATTGTTGTTTAAGTCGTTGGCAGTTCGTTATCAGTTCGTTAAGAGTTCTGTAAGAATTTTTTAAGAGCGAGTCCAGTAAGAGTTGTTCGTTATTAGTAGCAGTCTTTAAGAGTTTGTTAGAGTTGAGATTAAGTCAGATGCAGTCTCTAGTCTGCGAAAATTTTAGAGCCGAAGTACTCTCCAGCGTAGTAAAGACTGTGTGACTCCACAATAGGAACGATACTGGTCGATCCGGATCGACCAGTTTGCTTCTACATGTTCTTCGTTCCGTGTATACTGGGAAACCAGTCTTTGAAGTCCAGTCCGCGATGTCCTGATAATTCTATAAAACGTCGAAGCTTTTAGAAAGAAGAGCAAACTGTGAATGTATCCAGTCGATCGTCAATTTTAACAATAAAGGTCTTTTTCGCTTCTTTCCAGATTGTTCGATCATTGGTAAAATATCGTTTTATCGAAATATCGCTCTTGTCTGTATTAATGATTATTTCAGGGAAAATGATAAACATATAACGAGGTATGCCGTTTTAAATAGGTTGTAGATGGATAATTAGATAGATAGAGAAGAAAGGGGTGAGATTTTTATAGTAGATAGAGACACGAAGCTGGAATAGTTCGAGAATGTCCAGTATGTAATTACTTCCAAGTGTCGCGTGCTCCAAGACAATCGCCAGATTCGAATCCCATAGAAAATTTATTGAACCACTCAGAGTTGAAGATTCCAACAACAGGGTAAGTACAAAGGAAAGGTAAAAACAATGGTTAATAGGAATATGTATATGCATTAAATTATATTATTGTTGCGACGGCAATAATACTCGGAAGGCGTGTCTAGCCGTCCTTCTTGGGGATTAAGAAATTATAAATCAAAGACAAGGACTATGGACAGTAGTACTTGGGACCAGACCCAACAGACGGGACGCACGTGCGACTGACCCACCGAAACGCCTATGAATCTTAAAACTAAACAATACCAAAGGGAAACTTCCCTGGCAGTTTCCCTCTCCTAATCCAAAGTCCTGCTAAAACTCCTTGCCCAATCAGAAACTCTATTTTTTCCTCCACCTACAATCACTTTCCACCAATCACCGTAAACCTAGACTAGACAAGACAGACGACAGTTAGAAGTCAAAGACGAAACATCAGACGGTATCGAGAATTCAGACACAACGCATCAGACGGTTTTGAGAAGTCACATAGAACACAAGACGGTAGTGAGAAGTAAAACGCAACACATCAAGACGGTAGTTGGGAGAAAACGAGAAATCGAAGACGTAAGACGGAATACAAGACGTGAAACGGCAGAAGAATACAACACACGCACAAATTACAGATAAAACACATCAAATCGTGTAACAAAGTGTATATACAACACAAATTGCGCATTATTACACAGCCTAAGTACTCAGTGTCTCGTAAGGATTCGGCACACCGAGATAAGGCAGCAGCAATTATAACAACGTTGTCCTCATCCGCGTGGAGCTACATTTTAATCCTTTGCCACGCAACATTTTGGTCCTTCGAGCCGGATTTTGTCAACAATTATTTAGGAGATATCATTTCAAAGATCGAACACTCTCGTTTACACCTGTCACAATTGGAAAGTTAAGAATTACACGTGATGATTTGCAAGAAGATCGTTGTTCTTTTATTTCCACATCAGTGACATCGATAATGACATTCTATCTTCGTTGGATCGCGTTCATCGTGTTCGCTCTTGCTCGTCACGGAATTAAGAAACGTTTCGAGGGATGTCTACATCGCGACAGACAAGCAGCGCGGGTGAACTCGGAGGGAAGCAAAAGGGTAGCAAAAGGGTAGCAAAGGGTAGCATGGAAAGAGGTAAAAAGAGGAGACGGGAGCGAGCGTAAAAATGGTGAAACCGGGTGCGAGGGGTCACCGCGATGGAACCGAGTAATTTCAGGAGAAAGCTGAACGTAGGTTTCCTCTTTTCTTCATTTCTCGTCTTCTTCCGCGTGGCTCTTGGACCAAAGGAAAAAATAGAAGAGAAGGAAGGGAAAAAATGAAGACGAAGAAGAGATACGTGGTCGAGTATGCGATGCCGGTACCTACGCTTCTCTTCTCCTCGCCGAGTTACACAGTTCACTTAAAGCTGAACACTCACCGACGTCACCATGGTGCCACCGTCTAGCGAGGTTTCTAAACTTCTGGCGAGTGATACGGGAAGAAATACTCGAGCTTTTCTCTTCTTACCTTTTGCCCCTGACAAATGAACAAAGTTCTGCTTGTACGAAATCCGAATGTTAAAATATCGTAATAAGCGATATCTTGTATCTTCGAAGATTACGATATTAAATATATTACAAGATATTAACCCTTTGTACTCGACGATATTTTGGCTATAGAAGAATAGAAAATCAAAGATTCTCTACTAAAAAACTGACGATACTTTTTTGACCAGTAAATAAAGAATTGTATAATAATAGAATTGTAGAATTATTTGATTTCGATACCTCGCATACTGTTACATTACATTAAATTTGATATATTAATTAATATCGATCTTCCAAATTTTATGAAATGGTGACTGAAGATCACCTCTCGAGTATAAAGGTTTAAACATGGTGGATTGAATAAAATATTGCAAAATGCTAAAATCGCAATTGTTACTTGCAATTATTATCACGGTACAGGATACACGGTATGAAGAAAATAAAAATCTTTGCAAATAAATTGTATAAATTGGACGAAAGTAATTCATAGAAATTACGGAAAATTCGAGAAACAAAAAATCTATGATTTATAAAAAAAAAGGAAGATCAAACTGTTTATGAAAATATAAAGTAGCGTGCAGAGCACACTCCTCGAGATATCGGAAATAGCCTAGGAATCGATGGGACGTTTGGTTCATAATTCACAGAAACGTATAGACAAAATTTCATTTCAGTGTTATTCCAGTTTATTTAAAATAATATCTACAATGACATGTTACATTGAAAATTTTCTGCCGTCGATAGTAATAAATTAATCATGTGGTTATCTGGAAAATAAACAGATGAATATCTAGTATTATATCATCACGAATCATCGTAAAGTTCATTTACGAAATATAATCTTTACTCCTAGAATGAAGCAACGAACCAGAAATGATTGCTTAACCTGAATATTGAAAAATTCTTTCTAACAGGGAGAAACGATTATTTTCTATGCCATAGATATCAGTCCACCCTTTATACGATAAATATAACTGTTCTTTGATAAAGAAATTATATAGATTAACGAATTAAAGACTAACGACTAATAAAAATTATAGCTCACTGCGTATTGTGTCTAAACAAATTTTTCCAAGTCATACATCGATAACAAACATTAAGGATCTTTACTCTTCGGGTTCGTGGACGAGGAGGAAGAAACGGCTGTTCCCCTATCCGTCTGTCTATCCATCGGATAGACGTTCGACAACGGGTTACACTTTCCGCAGGGCTGCTTTTGATCCACGTGGGAGACACGGAATGTTACAGAAATCGACGTACTTAACTAGGAGAGGAACGGAAGAGTGCGGTATACACTTTGCGTTCTATTCGCCGCCGTCGATCACCGATGAATCTTTTACACGACCGTCAACCGATTTAGAACCTTACTCCTCCACGGAAAAATAACACTGTCGATCAAAGTTTACCTTTTCCTCTAATCCCAATAATAATAATGTAGGATACCAAAAGAAATCGCGAATCGGCTATTGCCAAGAAAAACAAATTGTAAACCGATCGATATCTTCTAGAAGCAAATCGAAAAGTTATTCCATATAACAAAATTAAAGCGTAGGTTAAGGAGAGCATAAAAGCGTGGTCCTTGACAAGCAAAACAGAGTCCTTAGAAATCGGTTGTGATCAGCATAAGCGTGACTCGCTTGGTGTTGGAAAGAGGGTTTTAAAAGAGTGCGTCCTTGTGTGTTTTGATTTCGTTATCTTGGTGTTCTTTCCCTAAGTTAAATCAGTTTACGAGTTTTGAGTTTTGGTTATTGTGTTCTTGTTCTTTCGATACTTTTCGGTGTCTCAAGACCAGTATTCGCCATCCTACAATAATAATAATAACAATAATAATTATCTAATCCAAATAATATCTAATAACTGATTCTCGCAGAGCTTGCTATAAAAAGAAATCTTGAAGAATGATCCTGAAATTTTGTGTCCAGATATCGTATAGCTATTAACACTAGAACTACCGATCTTTAATGGATACCTAACTATAACGTGCACAGATTATAGTAATTTCAGCGATACGATGAATATGATTGAATATATTGATCGCAGCTCTCTTTTAATACGAGTTGATACCACTTTTATTCTTAAAGCAGGTGTATTATGTGTTCGGTGATTGCAAAAAGGAAAATTCTGGGACAAATCATATTGACTAGGTTGGTAGTTCTAGTGTTAAACATCTCGTTTCGAGCTGTTATCGCAACCGATGAAATACGCCTTCGAATGTAGAAAACGCGTTTCAGAGGATCGCTTGATCGCGACAAGTGAACGTTCCGTTCTCGCTGTGCATGATACTAGACAGCGTGAAAAGAACAGTCAACTAATCGATGGCACAAACCGGAAAACGAACTGGTCGGTCAGGGTGGTGGCCTTTTCTAAAAACGTTTTTAACGTTGGATTATTTTTCACTCTGCTTCCAACATGGTGACGCGAAATCGCACACGCACGCCATTTGCGTGGCCAAATAAAATTGCAACCACGTAAAAGTGTTCCGTTCGTGCGATTTTATAATACGCTTGCATCACTGGTCTTTCCCTTTCCCTCTTTCTGTTTCATTTCTTTTTTCAATTTCTCCCTTCTCCTCTCTCTTTCGCTCTATCTGGTATAGCCATCCTCTTCTACCACTCGCCCTGTCTTTTTCATCGCTAATTTACAGCTTCGCTATAATTTTCTTTTTATCTTTATCTCTCAGCCCCCCTCTCCCCCTCTCTTCGACTTACTCCCAATGGATTAAACATTAACGAGAGAGAAAAGCTGCAGACTGGATCTCCGAACAAACACGATCGACGAATATAAAGTATTAAGCCTTGGAATGTCGTGCCGGTATTTCATTCGGCCCTTTGTTTACAATAGACCCAGAAGACCGTTAGGGTCTTCTGGCAGCCAGATTCTAATTGCTGTTTTAGTTCAAGTTCCGTGTCCTTTCTATCTTCATTTTCAATGCATTTTCAAACAATTCTTTATTTCCCTCGGGTCACCGGACACGAGGCTTTCTTTAGCCATTAATGTTAGAAAGCAGGCAACAGCACTTAGGATTTGGCTGACAATAGGCCTGCAAAGAAAGGGACCAGGCCATGTGCGATGTCGCGACTTTCGGAGCCATAAAGTAACGGGTCCTTCAGGAAGGATCACGAATGTGCGGGTGACCCACCAGCAACCCCCTTTGAGGGAGAGGCTTCCTCCACCGGCAGACCTGGTCGCGGAAGACGGTCCTCCCTTCTTTGGGGGCATCTGATTCGCGGACCGAGGGCCCACCCTCGGTCCTGTCAACCACCAATGGGAAAACCGATTTCCCTTTGGAAACCATGGGCTCCGAAAGATCGTGCATCGCACAAGTTAGTTAGGTCAGTACCAGTCAGTCAGTCAATAACATTCGAAGAGTTCAGAAGAGTTATCCGGAACTACTACATAAAATACAGTCCACTATAAACACAAAGTTCCTCAAGGAATTTGGTTCGTCATTAACCGTCGTCAATAGAGGACGACCTATTGACGATATACATAAAGTATGCAGCGTCACGGAAAAATGAATAGAAGCACGAAGCAAAAGAGAGGACGCGTAATCGTGGCCAATGGAGGAAAATGGTCGGCAGCATACCGCTTAATGACTGATAATGCAAGCATTATACCGAACGTACGATGTTCACCATTGATCCAGATGCGAACATCGTGACGCGTGATTGGGTTAATCGGCTTAACGACCGCGCGTACACCAGCCAAACAAATTGCCCGTGATCGACGCTCCATCGTAATCCGGCTCTGACCGTTCGTGATCGTCCTTTTCTCTTTCCATCAGAGCTGACTTATTGCTCGTGATTTCTCGCAGGAACCCCATGGATGCGTCCACGTTACGTTTGAATTCGCATCGCTGGTAAGGATAACTAACTGCATCGATGGTTAAGATCTGGAAAGGGAAGTGATTCGAAATAAATTTCACACTCGCAGCAGAAAAATCAGTATCTTTTAATGAAAAGCAATTTTGCTATGTCGGAATAGGAGCCAAACGATTCTATCGTTATCCGATTTCTCGATTAAAAAGGGAATTCTTCGAATTAGATTACAACAACTAGCAGCAACGTATTCTAAAGATTGATAAACGAATGTGACATTTTGAATTTCATTTTATAATCAAAATATATTTTATTTTGCGAAAAACGATATATACGATTATTACCTTCGAGATAAAGCCTGGGTAAAAATTGGTCTGCAGGACGATATCGTTTGTACGAGACATCTCTTTTGTGTCCTCAACAGTATACCAGCACGAATGCATCAGCACCTACAACTTTTAATATTCACAACCAAATTTACCGTGCGAGTAGACACTTTACTGTTCGATAATATTTATGTAGGATCGCGTTGTGGATAGGCTAAAATAATGTTGCGTTCTTTCTTAATACAATAAGCTTATACTTAATTTCCTCCATGACGTTAGACTTCTTTCGTACGTAACGAATTTCTTAGCTGATCCTTTCAGCATACGTTTTGTATACAGCAGCATTTGTATCTCGTTCCAGTCCAATAACGTATTTAATTCTTCGAAATCTGCAATCCATTTCTCGATCGGTAGCTTGTCGTCTGCTGAAAAATGTACTATACTCTCGTCGACGTCTTTTATCGTAAATTTGTTGCTACGCCTACTGCTTCGCCTGTGCATTTGGTCCTTGCTTCGCCGTCTTGTGGTTTTCCTTTTGTACCCACTCGATGCATCGCTGTCATCGTCGGATTCATTGCTCTCCGTTTCTTCGTTGTCGGATACTTCTTCTTCCGCGTTGCCTTTAACATGGTTTAATAACCTCTTTCTCAATTAGTAGTCTCTAGTGATCTTTAACAAACTTCAAGAGGTCTATAAGATAGTGTCTAAGAAGTAAAAGTCGAGCGTACCAGTAGCAGATCTCTCTAGTTTCGTAGCCGTTGATATAAGTATAAGCTTATTATATTTTAATAAGAAGTAAAGCAACGCTATTTTAGCTCCTTCACCCAACGCGATCCTACATTTATGCGAATTAAGAAGAAAACAAAATATATAGCAGCAAAACGATAAACCCAAATTGTTGTCAAGACAATAGAAATAAAGGCTACTTTGGTACTATATCAGCAACAACTTTATAATTATTACGTACACACGCACAACTTACGTTAGAGTACAAGGAAGTACCTCGAAAGTTACTTCCTTCAGCGCGCGTTAAACAATTTAGGTATCAATAAATCGAACGAGATTTATTTAACGATATAAGACAAGTCATAATTGAAAATTGACAGAGTGCACGTTAGCAACTGATTAAACTGCTTTAGGGGGTCGATTATAGACGAACAATGACAGAAGGTCAACACTTGGCAACCTGGTGCGAGCACGAAGTATTATTAGTTGTGAAAACTCATTACAGCTGAATACCGATTAATTTCACTGGAATTTCTTGTTAAGTAATTTAGTAAACCGGCCTCGAAAGTACCTCAGTTTGGCTTCCAGGATCTCTTGCGCGAACAGTCGCCACGGCTGTAAACGTTGATCGTTAATTAACCAAAACTGAAACCTTGCGCTTCTATGCTAGAGTTACGACAATATCGATTACATTGTTCGGATTCTCCTTGAGCTTCGGAATAATTATGAAAGGGACAAGCCCTTTCGTGGATCACAGGAATTTCGATGGTTTATACGCGTAAATTTACGTAATTAATTGCTTGCTTCGATCTGAGCACATTTATTTCATTATCCGAAGATAATTTCCAGGAAATCTATGAGTAAATTCACTGCACCTATTAATTTCTCTAAATTCCCTCTTCATTCATGAACATCGGTTAATACCATGTCCTTGTGCTTCCATGTAGAAATGTAATTTTAACAAATGAGAGAAAATTTCAGTGTATCGGACTTGAAGAAATAGAAAATAATAACGCTGCACATAATTATACGCAAGCTCGGAACAAGATCGAAGGGAAGATGGCAGACATATATCATAACCTATGGATGCACTAGTTATCGCAACCATCACCATCATCATCATTATCAGAGCTCGATGAGACAATAATTTGAAGAAAATAGTAGTTATGCGACAGGAAATTAAACCAAATATTGAACTAATTGGAAAAATAATCTTCGCACCTGTCGAGTACGGAATAAATACAGTGGGAATGGTAAATTTCATGACAAGTACTTATATATTGATTGGTGTATTCGAAAAATACGATTACAGAGTTTCTTTAACGGAACAGGATGTTATTAACACTAGATTTACGGACGCTATCTGTATACCTATTTCTAAGGACATCTGTCAAATTGACAGGTAAAGGAAACCACGTGCCTTTTTCTTTAACGATTAGTTTAATTTAAAAACAATTATATATTATATTAACAGTCTTAATATAAGTTAACTAAATCTGTTACTAGATTCCGTAAATCTAGTGTTAAGAACGTTAAATGGCTGCATTAAATTTATCTTCTACAAAAAAAAAAAAATAAAAAAATACCCAAGTAATTATAGTCTGAATTTTAATAATACAAAACATTATGTTTATTAGAAATAGACTCGTTACAATTACTGTGTACGAGTAGACAATGTAATATGACACTGAACAAAATTGCAACAATAGGTCAGGCGTCGAAATAGCGAACTGAATAGCAAATATCATGCAGTCGAGGTGGAGGATTCCTGTATAACACCTGTACATAACGAAACGAAAACTCGGAAGTTCAACTTCCTTACCCTTCTTGGTTACACCAGATATCGCGAAGTGACCAACAGAATATTGCCACGTTATCGACAGACTATCGCGAAGTGACCAACAGAATATTGCCACGTTATCGACAGAATATCGCTACATCACCGACAAATTACAGAATTTAATTTCAGCGTCAAAAATCTCGTCCACGGTATGAGCACGCATATCTTTCTTATCCGTTGCTGGCACGTGTTGCTTCCAACGTTACCGATTCAACTTGGAAGATTGTAGCGTTACCAGTAACTGAAACAAATACTATGTAATACTGAATGTTATTATGAATTTATTTAAAAAATATGGAATACTTTTCCTTGGAAATGAAACATTCAATAAGAAGAATTATTAGTATCATTAATTCTCCTATATGTAAGATGTTCTTACCCTATAATCATATATATAAGTTACTATATATTAGGGGGACCGAAAAGTAATCAAAATTTTGTTTACTCGCGAAAAACATTTATTTATTAAAGAAATCTTAAATGCTAAGCAACAAAATAATTTCCATCATTTTCTAACGCTTTTTGCCAGCGTAAAGGCAATTATTCGATTCCCTTTTTAAAAAAGCCCTTCGATTTTTCATTGAAAAACTTTTCTAAGTGCGTTTTCACTTCTACAATATTGGTAAATTTTTTACCTCTTAATGTATGCTCTAACGATCAGAAAAGGTGATAATCCGACGACGCGAGATCTGGTGAATAAGGTGGATGAGGTGAAATTTCCAACCCAAGCTTTCTTATTTTTTCCTGTTATTTTTGCAGCGTGAAGCCTCGTGTTGAAGGATCCTTTTTTTGTTATTGACCAAAACAGATCTTCTATTGTTGGCCTTGACATCTTTCCTCCTTGGTAAAACAAAAATTTTTTGACCAAAAATAAAATTTACAACCAAGCTTGGACGTAATAACAAAACTTCCCTGTTTACGGGACCGTGTCTCGACACAAATTAACTGTGAATGAGCTCATCGAAGAAATTTTGATTACATTTTGGTCCCCCTAATATGTAGAATTCCACGATTCTGCAGGAATAAAATAAGACTGTTATTACGATGGATAGAATTACGATGGATAGAATTACGATGGTGAATTTTATAATGTAGAGTCACAGAGTCTCTACTTCGCTGGAGAGTACTTCGGATACTCAGATTTACTGCAGAATAGGGACTGGATTGGTTTCAGTCTGTATTTTCGACTCGACTTTCACTGAACTCAACTCTCTACAATAACTCGCAATGACCACTCTCAATAACGCTCGCTCTAAGAGACTATCTTAACTCTGCCTCTATCTTCCAGAGCGGGCCCTTTTAAGCCAGTCTGGAAGGCAAGGGCTTCCCCCGAAGGAGGAGAAAACTCCCTCCACACAACACTCTGGGGTAGGAGGGATTCCTCCTTCAGGTCAGGCTCTCCGAAGGCCCCGACTTCCTGAGACTCATCTGACCGCCAGGCTCTAACGGGACCTTTATACCTGGTGAAGTCTAAAGATATCCTACATTCTTACAATAGTAAATAATTATCGAGAAGAGTTAAACAAAATAAATGGGGAACTAAACGAGGGAAAATTCATCAATCGAATGAAACCAGTTTCATTTCGTGATATTATTGGTGTTATTTGAAGCTCGTTATATAATATTCAAATCAATAAAGATATAAAAACATTACACAAACTGTGAATTGTTTTAATTTGTTCTCAAGGAACAATTTGCAATGAAGACATAGACATACCAAAATCAATATTTGTGAAATCTTGCAAAGAATTCATAATCACCACGATTCTAAAATTCTTCCAAAATGAGAACTACATGAACATTTAAAGCTGACATCTAAATCGCAGCCAATTAGCTCATATTACTTGCTATATCATTCATATTTGTAGCATAGTTATTAGCTATATATCTTATCGTCAGTTTTTTAGTAGAGAATCTTTGATTTTCTATTCTTCTCTAGCCAAAAAAATCCTCGAGTGCAAAGAGTTAATTCTTTCTGATTTTATATCTCAATTAAATAAACAGACCTTCATCTCTGAAATTACTATCTAAATGAACATCCCCTCCTCTACCTGTTTGAAAATTGTAAATAATAATTTGTAAGAAATCTACATTTATTACTCGAGAATGACATATACTATCTCCGCAGTTTTCTAAACAAATACTTCATAAAATCTAAGAAAATATCATTAATGTTACTAATATGAAATGGAACGAGCTATAAATTTCAGGTTTTCTCGTAAATCCATGCCTAACGCAATAATAATTTGTGAGTTAAATGAATATTTAAAAGAGGATTCTAATCCAAAGAAAAAGATTAACAAGTTACAGAACCGAACACCAAAAGTCACAGCCATAATATGTGGACATTTATTTCCAACATGATACAAATCACGTAATATAATGTACGACGAAAAGTGATTACTATATAACGACATAAAAGGATCTTTATTTAGATGTCCACGAAACATCATGATATGGTTAATAACGACGCAATTCCTGTAAGACTGATCATTATGCGATTCTACTGCTATAGGATAATTCATAGTGTAATAACCACCGAAATGAACGAACAATCCCACTTATGGGATTCTAATGGGGTTCGCTAATGTAACGACGCCACAGTCAGCACTGGCCATCCCCCGAAGGAGGAGAAAACTCCCTCCACACAACACTCTGGGGTAGGAGGGATTCCTCCTTCAGGTCAGGCTCTCCGAAGGCCCCGACTTCCTGAGACTCATCTGACCGCCAGGCTCTAACGGGACCTTTATACCTGGTGAAGTCTAAAGATATCCTACATTCTTACAATAGTAAATAATTATCGAGAAGAGTTAAACAAAATAAATGGGGAACTAAACGAGGGAAAATTCATCAATCGAATGAAACCAGTTTCATTTCGTGATATTATTGGTGTTATTTGAAGCTCGTTATATAATATTCAAATCAATAAAGATATAAAAACATTACACAAACTGTGAATTGTTTTAATTTGTTCTCAAGGAACAATTTGCAATGAAGACATAGACATACCAAAATCAATATTTGTGAAATCTTGCAAAGAATTCATAATCACCACGATTCTAAAATTCTTCCAAAATGAGAACTACATGAACATTTAAAGCTGACATCTAAATCGCAGCCAATTAGCTCATATTACTTGCTATATCATTCATATTTGTAGCATAGTTATTAGCTATATATCATATAACTATAGTGATACAATTAGGAATTATATGTCAAATAATACCGATTGCCCAGGTCTCACCACGAGGAGGTGCTGCGAATGGAGACCCACCCTAACCACGTCCCATCCACCCTCCTTTCGCGGAAAATACACTAACAGACAAATAAATTTCCCTTTTCATGCTCTTTTGCGAAACGTTCAATATTTGACCGCTGCGCAAAATAAA